TTTGGTCTTCAAATTAGCAGTTTCCCTGACAAGATTTTCAGGTGCTCTTGTACGCGAGGCTCAGATGTGCGTGAAGGTTCGTACCGCGTTCCAAAAGATGGCACTTGGCTAGGGGACTTACAAGCAAAATGTCAGCTTCGAAGCACGCTTGCTTACCGAGTTAAACTACACAGACAGACAGACAGACAGACAGACAGACACACACACACACACAAACATACATGCAGCATGGGTCGTCACAATATGCGTTCCTACATTTACATAGATGCAAAAATGCATAAAACCATTAAATAAAGCTTCTTTGGAAAAAAACTTACATTCCACCAGTCTTTCATATCCTTGCCCCAGCAGTATGGCGAATACGCCAGAAGCGCTGCCCCGGTTGGCACTGCCGCTGCCAGTATTGCGCGTTTCGTGTCCTCCGATGTCCATAGCGCATCAACAACACCTAAGGGAAACACTTAACTTGTTAATTGATAATTTTAAGAATTTACTCATCAAAACAACAGCTCACTGCAGCTAAAAACTGCCAGAAAACAAGGATGACAACCGCCCTGCTTCCCGAATACGGCCTGATGAGGAAGACAGCTGAATGTGTTTTATCAGTTCCATCAAAATGCATCAATGAAAACCCACTAGCGAAGCGCAGCGCTACGACTATGCGTTCTTGCAAGTTGAAATTCGCCACATCCCGAAGCAAGACGTCAACGTGCGTGAGAGCTGCTATCACGTTTCTTATGTCCCACAGTGTTTCTAGCTCAGACTGACTACCAACTCAACATCCTAAATTAAACTTCCAATTGCATGCGCGTAAGATCTAGACGTACTTCAAAGCCGAATTTGCAATGTTTAATTCACACTTGGGCATTGAATATCCTGGCAAAATTTCGGCTCCCAATCTTAACTGGATCACGAAAGCGTTTATCCGCCAGAAAAATCAAACTGTTTTCTTCAGGAGTCCGCACGTGACACCCAAGCATTTACGTAAACCACGATTTTAAAACACTAGTTTCCCATCGTATGCGTGTACAATGTGTATTAGGACACATAGAGAGGCACATA